AAATGTACAAATCTTGTTACTTCTGTTGTAATCTTTATAGTATAAGCTCAATATCTCATAGGAACAGATATCTGAAATTGTCTAAAAACGTTCTTTACAGACTGTGCCATACAACAACTAAAAATTTCATTAAAAGAAGTACAAGATAATGAAACTGAAGAGAGACTTAGTAGTTTTACATGTTACTTTCTTTCACGATCAAATTATTTTCTTCATTACTTTTTAGGCGTCATTTAGATTTGAAATTGGGGTCTAGCATAGTAACTCGAAACAGTCAAAATTGAACGGTTGAAAAAGATAAACTTTGCTTGACAGTCATCAGGCTGTTGTGGTTCACACGCTGATCACGCAATCACCATCAGTGACAGCAGTCTAACCTCTCCTTACGGACACCTCTATAATACGGACACCTCTGTAAAGCGGACAATTGGTTCTGTCCCTTTGGTGTCTGTATTAATGTTTGACTGTATTTTGAAAAAATAAATTATCAAAAAACGGGACATTTTGCTTTATTCGTCCATTTTTTAGACGAATAGACACTTTTGTGGAAAACATTTTTTGTCCAAATTATTCTATTATTATTTCTTTTAATTTTAAAATCGTTATACTTAAAATTTTCATTAACACTTTAAAGTTAACGTTGAGAGAGAGTGTGAATGTTGTTTTCTTTTTCCTCAGTTTAGGACTGCTCATGACGGGTGATGATAATTCACAGACTTTCACAAAGCAAATAATATGGTTGAGTGCAAACAAGAGAGGATGCATGATAATTCTCTCTTTGCGCAAATTATGAGATCAGGGTATTTACCTCAATACCGTTGAAAAAGCACAAGACACAACATTATACAATCTCAGAAAACTGCAAACAACTGTCTGCTAAGATGTTCCATTATGAGCATAGGAGAGGTCCACTGGAGATGTTACATGTATTGCGAAGTGGCGGTCATGGGGAAAATAAGAGACTTGTTTAGGATATGCTTTAGAAAACAAAGATACTATGAAATTCTCAATTATAAAAATACTTTATCTGACGTCCAATGCTTTAAAGTCAATGTTGTGTTACTTGCGGTCTGTTCACTTTAACTCAATTCATAAATTTTAAATCACATTAGAACAATACAAGTTAAGTTTTGTTTTCCGCAACAGCTATTTTATTCGACTAGTTAAATTTGACGTCTGAAAGTCGCTACGGTCGTGATGAAGTCGAGCCAGCTTAGGACGGCAGTAGCACGACAGACGTTTGAAACAGGCCTTACCTTCACCATTTAAGGAGATTTTTTGCGAGTTTTGGCTCCCCGGCTTTCCCTGCAATATATGCACGCGTCATTGGCTTCCCCCAGTGGTAGGACCCTAGGCAAACCAGGGGGTTTTTAACTTGGGCGGAGAAAAGTTGATAATTTTCCCGTGGGGGAAGTTCACAACACAAAGTCACTTGGTTTAAGTATTTCTCAATGATATTTCTCTGATATCTTTCTCGTAAAGAGACTCATTTGACTGGGGGGACTTTTATGATATATCAGTTTCTTTGGCAAAATTCTTTTTCCGCAACAGGAACAGAAACAGTACTTTTGCATATAAAATCCTAGCCTGTTCCAGGCGTTCAGATTCTCCCCTTGTTTTTTCTTTCTTCGTGAATTTTTCTTCCGCGCTCTACTATCCGAACGCCTAGAACAGGCTAGTATATATCCAGACTATTGAATAACGTGCGTGCCAAAATTTACTATGCTAGGTACGTTTTCTTGCTGACGATTCGGCGATTTGTTAAGTGAAATTACCAGATTTCACGAAGGATTAGTCTGAAATTCAGACTATCTTAAACCTAACAAGGATTCCGAAGTGAAAATGATGAAAATTTCGTCATCTTCTCTAAAAGTGCTCGAGGGGGGGGAAGGGGGTGGATCAAGAGCAGTTTAGGTAGAGATGTGCCACCAACATTTTAAAGATCTTCAAACTCTGATCCTGAGTTAAGACAAAAATTATTCCTTCACTGTCTACCTAATTTCTTGAACCTCATTTATTTAATTTCGTTTGGCACACAGAGTAAAGTATTTTTGAAACTAACATCACGGAGATTTCCTTTATAATACATGACCTGCAGCATTCGTCATTTGTCATTCGCTCTCGCATTCGTGTAGACTGCGAGTCGCCAACTTTCACACTCATCAGTTTGTAGGAGAGAACCCTCGGAACGAGGTTGCAGTTTATAGATTTATGGATGGTCCAAAAAAACCCTGTTGAAGTCGCTAAATAATGAAATTGTATACCCTGGTTAAGACTCAGGCGCGGACAAAAAAAATTCAATGTCCCAATCAAACCGGCTATGTACGTTGTTTCTTGTTTTAAACAGACGAGTCGACGTTTACTTGAACTTTCCAAAATTAAAATAGTGTTTTTGAGTTAACCGTGGTGAAATAAAATATAATAAAATAAACTTTTTATTCTAACCCAACCTAACCAAACTCCGTAGTTCCCTCGAAAACTATACCCGATTCCAGACCAAAATGGGCAAAGTGTATACCCGTTTTCAGACCAAAACGGCGCAAAAACCCTACCCGATGGGGCGGCACATACCTATATAGCTTATATAAGGGAGTACCACCTCCCCACCCTCCCCCCACCCGAGACTTGTCGAGACTTGTTAGGCTCCATAGTGCTGATAGTACTCTTGCCGGTTACACTGCATGTTTTTTTTTCTCCCATCTTTCAAAAGGGATTGAAATTATCGTAAGGCGCATTTATTGGGTTTGAAATATTAGGTTGATTAAAACACAAGATGCATCTTACCGTGACTCTTCTAGTCGGAACTGAATATCGAGAATCTCAAATCAGTTCTAAAAATTCGAATTTTGGCTAATACCACCCAAACAACCCTTCAGGTGAACTATTTCAAGAATTGACATTAAGAAATCCCCAAGCGCTTTAAATTTTGAGAAATTTGGAAAAGTTCGAAAATTCGATAAAAATACATTTTTTATTCGCGAAATTGCTGCAAATTTCAACAATTTGAGCTGTGATTCTTTTAACTAGATCTGAAGTTTCAGCTCTGAGAATTCAAACGCTTGCGAAAAATAAAATTTTAAATATAGCCCCTTCAGGCCACCGTAAGCGACAAGAAAGTGAAATGTAAACAAAGCGAAAACCGTGTACACAAAGGAGAATATCACACCAAAGCTATTTCTAGCCAACCAAATCGTTAAGAAATGATGGAAATTTCGGCATCTGAATAGCTATTGCTATCTGAAAAGCTAAAAAGGCGAAATTGTATAGAAAGAAAAAAATCCTGAAAAACGAGCAACTGAGGATCCCGTCGGGTGATCATGCATTTTTAAATTCTGGACTCGGAAGTAAAAATGCTTCCGGTTGGTCAAGTCCAAAAGGTTTCAAGAGCTGTTTTCAAAATACCCCAATTAACTATCGACAAACTAGGTCAGATGATGGATTTACTTAACTAAAAATGAACATAAGAAGAAGTTGGAATCATGATTACAAATGACACTTCTACAAAATGAGTTTTAAACGCAAGTCCTGGATTTTTCAGTGTCCATCTTTTTCTCGTAATGCACGGCCCTCGGCTCTGCGGCTCACCTTCATAACATGGCTTAAAAACTAGCAAATCACTGTCATTTCAACATTCCACTGATTTGTAAAACGGTTGCGGCCTAAAGTTGGTTCCTAAAAGAGACGTGTAACTTGGTGTCACGTTAGGCTGCGTGCAAACGGACGCAACAACTCCCAACATTAATTGTTGCGCCAGCAATGTTGGGAGTTGTGTTGCGTGCGTGTTGGCAGTGGTGTGCAAAAGGATGCAACAACTCCCAACAATGTTGAGACCTGCAGTGCATCGTGGCAAGGATACAACCCATAAGTCTTTGTAACCATGTGTAATGAGCGTGCGTGGCCCCAACAATGTTGGAAGAGCTGTGCAAACGGACCAACATTGTTGCGCTACGCTTCGGCGATCACGGAACAAAAGAAATGTTAGGAGTTGTTGGCTGAAAGTTAGACCGGTTTCAATCGCGCAACAACACGCAACAACATCCAGCAACATGCAACAGGGTGTGCAAACGGACGCAACATGTAACATCCAACAATGTTGGGAGTTGTTGGCCAACAATATGCTGCGTCCGTTTGCACGGGGCTTTACGTGTATGGTAATTTGAATAAATTACCTTGGAGCCCCTTCACGCAATCTTCCACAGGGTACACGTGACACACCGCTATCACCTTTAGCTCTGAAGGCGTGTGGACAAAATGTTGTGTAGTTTTTGGACTCTTGTTGAGGGCAATCTCTGCATTCGGTGTTAGTGAGGAACATCCTTCTCAATCCGATCGAATTTATTCCTCCTTTGAAATTGCCATCGAGGCGTCTGAATGTCCTGGAAGTACATGGCATAACCGCATCAAGGAAGATCCATCGTTGGTCAAATAAAAAAAGTAACTTCTTTTATCTCGAGGAAGTAAATGACAATTGGTTTAATTTTGTCTTTGTTTAAGTTTCATTGAATAAGAAGATCGCTTGTGTTGAACAGGGAAATAGCTGGTTGTACGTTGAGAGAAACTAAGGAGGGGCTAGGCACGTGGCCGAGAGCCCACCCGCACTCGGGAAGTGCGCTGAAGAAGATATATATATCTTGTAGCGGGTCATACTCACACCACGTCAGATTTTATACTTTCTATGTTCATGTACAAGATTTTCACCTGGGTGGTTTGGAGTAAATGGTAAGCACCGGCAGTACTCATATTTGATACCCTACGTTTACGAGTAGTCCAGCCAAAATTTCTCCGTGATATCAAAAAAAATATTTTAAACAACCACAAAACCCCAGTTACAGCTCTGCATGAGCTGCCAGACAAATGTCAAAACAGATTGGAATTTGCCTTCAACATTATAACAAGGAAGTGAAAGGCTGAAATAGCGCCAGCTTCTTCTCTATTACATTCGTAGTATCAGGTAACGGGCCCACGTACTGAATCCTCCGCTTATTCAAACTCTCATGGAAATGACTGCTCAAAAGCCATGCTTTCCTTCTATTGCCACTACCATTTCTGCATTAGGTATTATTTTGTACTGCGTTGGGTTTTTAAGAGTCGAATTGGAGCTGAAGAATCAGAGGGAGAGATTGCATGCACTTGAAAACATCCCGGAGACAGAGCCGCCATCAAGCGATCAAAACATCGCCAAGTTCATCAAGGTTGCTCGTGGTACGTATTTTTCAACGTGTTCTAATACTGTTTTGAATTTCATGCCGTCTGAAATCGTTCTTCCCATCCCTTTAAGAACATTTCAGGGTACGCAATTGCGCTCGACATTATCACCAGCGATGCAGTAAATCCGTCAAAGAATATGACAGAAATGACTTCTTCTGTTTGTCAGAGGCAAACAAATTAAGTAGGTCATTCTGTGGGTCTCTAAACACGGTGCATTTATATAAAGGGGAAGAACTTTTTGTTGCCTTAACTAAACCAGCATTTCAAAGAGAAGACTTCTCAAAGCCATTACGCTTCTTTTTCTACCAAACCATCTCAACATTAGCTATCGTTTTATATTGCGCTGGGTTTCAAAGAGAGTTGAACAATCACGAGAAGAGATTTAATATTTAACAAGATGCCCTTCGACCGTCGCGGAAAATATTATTTGTTTCCACATGAAGTCACAAAATCAAAAATAAAGCATCGATCCTCCTGAGTTTTTAATTTCATGAAGATTAGAGCAGCTGAAAACTTACAATTTTACAAATTTTCCTTTCGAAAGGTTTCTTCGTTCTTTGCTAGAGTACGCTTAAATTTCCAAACTTTTGCGTGACACGGTATTTACGTGGCGGCCAATGCAAGACAGCTCACTGTCAGCTGTCATGTAAGTTGAAATGGTGAATTACTTTGGAGGATTTTGCGATCCGAACACTAATTGTATTATAGGTAAGTATTGTTTTGAAGTTTATGAGTCGGTGACAGATGTTTCTGTTGGGTTTGCGGCCGCCATGTTGGTGCTCCTCAGAGGGACAAAGCTTTATAAATTTAGGTAAGACATTTCTCTGAAAATCTCGTATATGAAAAATTGAGCCGACCATATTCCATCCTCGGATTGGTGCCAGAAAAAATCAGAATTCAGAACGGCGGCGACTGTGTGGAACTTGTCTGGTAAGACATTGTCCCCAGGGGCTCTTCTCGCCGTTCTTTACTTTTCTTCGTGCCATATTTTTCTAGCCTGAATTTCATCCGATTACTTCGAGTCGTTATTACTCCCTCAGTAACGTCTGAATCGACCGGCCGTTAATGCCGTCCAGTGACGTCACTACTCCTTGACCTTTGCTTTAATTCATGCAAAAAGTACAACACGATTTTCAAGTGGCAAACCGAGAAATATCGTTTGTAAATGTCTGCATGATACAGAAATGCATTATTTTCAATCGTAATTCATGTTTAACGTTCAAACTATCAACTGCATGCAGTACAACTCTGAACCGGTTGTACTAAATTCTATAACAAACTCGGTCGCAATCACGCAATAAAATAAACACACACACGGAACACTTAGTTCAAAAACACAATGAATCGCTTTAACTGAAAAGAAGCTATTTGGTCCCTAACGAAGAAAAAAAAACAAGGAGACAAAGACATAAAAGCTAAGAGAATCATTACACTTGACGGTAAAAATAGCAAGAAGGTCGAATTATAACATTGATCTCAGAAAACTTCGCGTAAACAAAATCACTGGCCGCCGAAATCACAAAGCGGCTCTAAATGAAAAACCTACCGACTCTCCGCGATGATTCTTCATTCGCAGTTCAATTTAGCATTTCAGTTTCGAAGACAAGGGCAATTTTGCTGTTTAAGATAAAGATTAAGCTTATCGAAATGTTTGAACTAAACGAAAGAATACCAGGGATGCTATCCGCTGAATATCAAGCGACAATCCCGCTAAAATTTTTCATAATTATACATAATTATGCAAATATTTAGGCAATCAACCAATCAAAATCACTACCCGGTTTTCGGGTAGTGAGTGACGTCACTGGACGGCATTAACGGCCGGTCGATTCAGACGTTGTTGAGAGGAGAAAACGACTCGAAGCAATCGGATGAATTTCAGGCTAATATTTTTCCGCCCGTTTAGACTTTCCCTTGCCCCCACTCTCTGCCCCTGGGTCTCCGATGATGACCATATTCTTGACGATTTACCTTCTTTTATTTGCCAGATTCTGGACATAATCTTCTATCAAAAGTGCTAGCAGTATATATTCTTTTGCCACAACCCAAAATTACAATCATGGTGTAGAAAGTAGTTCTTTCAAAATAAACATTCACAAGGGAATTTGAGCAATCAGGATAATAATGTAAACAGAAACTTTTGGATCGCCAAATAAATACCAAAACTATCTAAACAGAATAAACCTTGTCTGCTCCCATATGGCAAGCAAAACCAAACGTCGACGTGCTTGAGCCCCTTTCTTTACGCAGGAAGCTAAAATAATTAATACCGCGTCTTCCTTTCATACAACAGAAGGCTAATCTCACATAAGGCGAGAAATGTTTTATTGCTTCAACTGTACAACTCTATATTCCCCCCCGGGGGGGGGGGGTACTTGGGTTAATTTTTTGCTGGGTATGTGCTGCTGGCCTCTCGTGACCCCTACCCCATCACTGTCTATTCTGTGGCCATATAACAGGCCCCATCTTATAGACACTTTAGGAAAAAGTCATTTTCGCAATCCCAACTTGGTCAGTTTCTGTTTATCGATCTACCTTATAATGCCAATAACTTCGCGTAACATGGTCATCCTGAAATTAACTGACACATTTTTGAACTTAATGTGGTGTAAATTTTTCTATTTTTAAATCCCTACATACCTGAATTTTCTGACCCCAAAATCCTGAAAATGTACGACCCCAGTCTAGTGCCTCTTACAAAAATGCAACCCCAAAATAGTCAATCCAGTCGTGAAAATCCAGCGGCACATCCCCATTAGCCTAACAGTAGGAAGTACCGCCCCCCCCCCCCCCTCCTCCAAAGGTATATTTCGAACAATCGACTGAAAATTGGGATGATTCGTGTGGTTCAGTATTTTGAAATTTTTGCTTTCCCTATAGCATAATATCAAAACATTCTTTGCCTCAGTTTTGATCGTCAATCGTTGTTTTAAAATAAAAAAGAACGTGTAATAGAACGGAAGAGCGGAATCGAGCAAGACCAAGAAATTGCATGCGTAATTGCCATAAGGATATCTATCACTGTCGAGGCGATCTCCCTCAGGCTTCCCACTTAGTAATAGCCCTGAGTTAGCTAGAAGGATCAATTTTTGTTTAGTTTATTATGAATAGTTAAAACGTCGTTTACTTCCTCCTTTCTGCCTTTACTCTAAAAAGTTTTTTTTTTCTTTATTTTCTTGGTACAGTTGAATATAGGGAATTTTACAGCAATATGATCATAGCCACCTCCCGAGTTGAGGGTTGCAGTAGAGTGTCAGTTTAACAAGTCAATGCAAAAGGAAAACAAAGCAGCAGAAAAATAGCTGGCTTAAGGAGAAAAAAATTTGAAGTGTCAGCAATGTATACCTTATTATAGGAAATTAACACTTCGTGAAATTATAACTAACTTCAAAAATTCGCGTTGATATAAGTCGCGTTAATTTTTGTAAACTTTTAATTTCGGAGCATTAACAACGTAGCGCGTGAATGACGTCAAAGTAACTAATTTGCAAGTTTTGCCTGAGTTTTGTCATTTTAATGACAAAAGTCAGACAAAAGTGAGGAATTCGTTAATGTTAATTTCAGTTTGTTTATCTGAGTTTCGGGTCTATCAAAAGTAACTACGCACAGCGCTATTAAGTGGAGCGTTAATTTCCGCGACCTTAATTTCCATTATTCTGACCTCAAGTTCTCAATACACTTTCGACATTCTTGACACCAAGGGGAGGGGCAATTTAAGGGTGGTAAGATCAGCCAGGACCATTGAAACTATGAAGAACCGTTGAAGTGGCCAGATTTCTTCGCATGACCCCCTTCGTACGTTTAGGGAAAGTACCACGAACAAAGTTTCCGTTTCAGATTATAAACAATAATTTGATGAGGTTTTTGTGATATCCAGAATAATCAAGGTCGAGGTAGGAGTTATCGGCTGAGGCTGATAACCCTTACTGAGACCTTGATTATTCTGGATATCACAAAAACTGAATCTAGTAATTGCTTTATTATACATTGAAAGATTTCTTTCTTTCTCGTTTCGACATAAAATGTATGTTTTCAAAGTTTGGTCAACTCTTTCTTTTCCTCAGGTTCCTCAGTTTTTTCTCTTTCACGTAATCAGCAAACAGCTCCTTAGCCACCTTTTTGCGTTTTGTGTGTCCTTGTCTTCAACTATTTTTTCGATGACCTGCTCGGTCAATGAAGCAAACCTAGAAGTTATGTTTTTGCTTCTTCACAGACGGCAAGCAACACAAAGCGCGCGAACTTGACATGATTACCCTTAGAAATCATGCACCGCGGTCATACATGACATGATTAACCGTGACCTTGAATGTCCTTGACATGATTATTGTATAATCTGCAGCTAGATGACGTCCCAGGTGCTGATTTCGAAAATTCACTGTACGCTTTCGGCCAATCAGAAAAGAGATAGTGAGTTCAATGTATAATAATACGTTTAACTTTGATTCAACAAGTTTTGTTTCTTTGTGGACACCGCGCTAATTTTTGTATCTTCATTTTGGACTGTTACCCCTCTCCTCCTTTATTCGAAAGTCGTTTTACATTAATCTCGCATTAATTAAAGTCGTGTTTATTTCCAATACCTTAATTTTATGGAGCGTTAATTTCCTATAAGGCAGGTATGCTCAATCTATGTTTGTTACTTACCTTTTCATTGAGAGACATTGTTTTGAGTTCCCATTTCGCTGATTTACGTTCTATGCACGCAACGCAACTAAACAAGTTATGATTTTCTTGTTTTATTATCTTTTAAAAGACTTTGACTCCTATCAACATGGTAGGGGGAGGCGTCAGGCAAATTTGGCCAATACCACTAGGAAAGATACAGCCACAGTAGATGTGATGAGTAAAATCAACAAACTGCTAACAGAAGGGAGACTGCAGCTCTGTCAATCAAAGGGTGACAATTGTCTGTCAGGTTCCCCAGGCCCTCCCGGTCCACCTGGTCAGAGAGGAGAGAAGGGAGACCGAGGACGAAAAGGGAAGAGAGGAGCACACGGAAACAAAGGAGATAGAGGTATTATGGGAGCACCAGGTAAGAGCGGCAAGCAGGGAATCATGGGAACTGTAGGACCAAAAGGCGATCCTGCACTCAAAGGCCAAAAAGGAGACACAGGGTCCGCTGGAATGCCGGGAACCAAAGGAGAGCCTGGTGAATCGATTTCAGCTCCTGTTGTTGCTGTTTCACCGACAAACCTGACAGTAAACGAAAGTGAAACAGCTTCATTTCAGTGTTCAGTCAGCGGTAATCCTGAGCCTGCAGTAGTGTGGAGTAAAAGGGGTAACCTTTCCGAAGTAAACACGTCAGCGGTTTCGAGAGGGAGATTGCTATTAAAGAATGTAAAAGCAAGACACTCTGGAGAATACCAGTGCTCGGCAACAAACATCCTGGGACATGCGCAAACACTAGTGCAGCTTGTTGTAAATGGTGAGCCGTTTGTGAAACATTAAGCGCCTACCATTTGTATAAAAAAAACGATAATTCCGGTGAGATTTCGGATGTGGTAATTGTTTTCAGAAAAAAGGACGGTACCAGTATCGGGTTATTTTCCTCTTGTGATAAAGTAAAAAATTTAGTGGAGGGGTATTTCGTTAATGAATGTACACTTCCATCCCATTCCTTTTTTCGCGTTTTTAAATCGAGATTTTATATTTTATTGTTACATAATTTCCTCGAATCAAACAGTAAAGCCTGAGTTAGTAATAAAAAACAGCTTGCTAAAGTAAACAGCACTAGTAACACGACTTGCAACGTTAACTTGGAACATAAAAAGTTTATAGGCGAATAATTTATCAGTTAGTGACACAAGCTATTAGGAAATAAAAAATCCTGGTTTTCCCAAGAGGAGTCGAAACTGTAACTCCAAATGTAAGTCTAGATGTTCTATTACTAAGCATCGTCGTCTCAGAAAAATTGAGGAAAGGTGCGCCCTTTAGTAGTCCTTCTAAATTTGACCTTCAGAATTATTTCATTCTGTTTTGTTTGTGTGTGTACCTATTCATATTTATTAGACTTTTATTGGTTATCACATAATATAATTTGGCCTAATGTTTATTAGTTGGCACCTATTATTTAACAATTAATGAATGAGGCTGAGTATCCTCCGAGATCTCCATAATTCTTCATATGATACGATAGCCGAATTCAATAAATGTTTTATTACTCCTTCAAAATAATTTCTAGTTTAAAAACATGCTTACCTCCATCGATCCATCGATGTTAAGTTCATCTTCGATAGTGCACGTTTAGGGTTGTTCAGCTCCGCAAATATTCTCTAAATAACAGATGTCGCCCTTCGAGTTGTCCTCTTGCTGTTCTTGCCATATTTTTAGCTATTTTTTCGCCTAGTTCTTACTCTTGAAACGAGTGAAATGTCCGCCATTTTTCAAGTTCACAACCAAAACAACTCAACCTCGTCCCCAGCCTGCAAGAACGCTGCCTTTTTTACGTCGTTTCCTCGCTAAACACAAAATTCTTCCAAATTTGGCCATCAGTAACTGGTTACGGTGAATTAAACGTGCGCTTTTAGCCAATCAAAATGGAGGAAATATTTTGAATGAATACTAATATGTTTTATTAGTTGGCATTCAAAGTATTTTATCCTTGTTTTAAATTTTATTTTTTGTTTGTTTGTTTGTTTTTTAACACATTACAACAGATTGAACGACAATGATGTGAACTGCGGAAATACACATTTAAATTAAGATATGATCACCACAGTGGTAATTGCAATTTAAGCTATTGCAAATTTACTCGAAAAAAAAATGCGGGACTTCAACGATACTTAAAAAAGAGTAAAATAAATATCAAACTAAGGATAAAATTGAGAGGCAACAATGACATGTTGATTTTGTTTTATTTCTGCAGTTCCTCCTCGAGTTTCTCTTCATCCAGGGCCTCATTACGCCATTGAAGGCAGCAATTTCACTTTTCCAACATGTCACGTGACTGGTTATCCGACACCAGAGGTCATTTGGAGAAGGGTAACAGGGCAGTTACCACGGGAAAGGGTGAAATACAATAACAGTAATTTGCAGCTTTTAAATGCTAGAAAAATAGATTCTGACGTGTATCTTTGTTCAGCAACAAACCTGCTTGGAGGTTTTAAAAAGAAAACACTTGTGGTCATCGTTTCTCATCCTCGATTTACTGTTAAGCCACCTGTGAGCATATTTGCAGCGCTTGGAGACACTTTGACGCTTAATTGTAGCGCAACTGGTGATCCTCAACCAGTTATTAGCTGGAGGAAACAAGGAGGTCATTTGCCAGTTGGAAGGAGCCAGCAGCTTACTGGTGCGTTAGTGATTAGAGAGATTAAAGAGAACGACACAGGTCATTATATTTGTACCGCAACCAGCGCAGGAGTGTTTAACGTGGAAACTGTGACGACCATTAAATTTTATCCAAGAGGTCAGTTTTAACTACTGTCTAATATATAGATTTAGCCAGGGCTAAAAGCGAAGCTCTCAATAATATTTATTGTTTGTTCAAACAAAATACAAAATCGTGTAATGCTGCGATAGCAACGCCGGAGAACGGTGGAAAAAAAACAATACGTTTAATTAGCAAAAAGCAACTTTGCACGCGCGGCACACCTTTTTTTGTACATTTCTTAGCCGTTTTGCACGACTACAACTTGAAACTTCCAGAAACATCCCAGTTACACTTTTCATGTAGGAAATGTCGTACGTGTTCTCGTTCACTTTTCCTTCACTGCCGCTCATTTTCACATTGCATTGGTGGCCTCTAGCATTTCTCATTTTCTCACCGCCACTAAAAAATTTTTATGTTGTTCTTCCAACAAAAAAATATCTCCTTTGTGTTTTTGTCTCTCGCTCTAGATCTCTCTTGCCATTTTTCTTGTTGAGCTTTGCTGGCCTGCTGCCTACTTTCTCTTTTTCTCTGTCTCTCTTGCTCTATATTCCAAATTTGTGGACATGACGCTAAATTAATCTTAGCTGATAGACAACGCGGATAGAGAAACAATTTCCGCTTTCCGTTTTCGTCTTTATTGACTCTTTAGTTGTCTCTGCTTTACAAGACTCGGGTGGCTATGCCTGCCCATTTCCCTCCAAAATAACCTCGAGTTGCATTTGGGTTGTCATACCTGTTGATGGAGTTATTTTACATTGTTATGCCTGTGGTGCGGACGGAAGGTCGGACGTATGGTCACTTGATTACCAAAATTTCTCGGATGGGTGGATAACCAAATTTTCTTACCTACGGTGCTTCGCTGCGCTCGCTTTGCGCGCGAAAGATCTCCGCTATAAGCTCCTCTACTGACATCTGATCATTTTGAATGACAGACAACTTAGGCATCAAATCTGTGAATATAACTAAGGCACTGATGAACATTGTACTCGATTGGACTTTTTGCCTTTATCAGACTGTTTATTTTGTAATTTAAGGATGTTTTAAAATTGTCTTCCCGAAATTCAGGTTGGGGTGCATACTGTCAGTCCTAAGTAAAGAGAAAAGTAGTGGATCCTGGGCAAAGGTAGAGAAATGTTTTTGTATCTTAAAAATGTTATTTGATTAACGCTTTTCATTCTAATCTAGGTCAGGACTGCTTACTACTGCTAAAGACAGGCCATACTAAGAGTGGATTGTACTCTGTGAACCCAGACGGCAAAGGATTCTTCACTGTTTACTGTGACATGCGCACTGATGGTGGAGGATGGACTGTGTTCCAGAGAAGACAAGATGGTTCTGTAGACTTCTATCGCGGATGGAACGATTACAAATCAGGCTTTGGTCAGCTGACGGCTGAGTTCTGGTTAGGAAACGACAAGATCCACAGGCTGACGGCTGCTAGACCCAGTTCTTTACGAGTAGAACTAGAGGACTGGAACGGAGTAAGAGTGTATGCCAAATATGGCAAGTTTAACATTGGTGATGAGCAGGCGAAGTATCGACTCAAGGTGGGTTCATATTCAGGGACGGCGGGAGATTCGTTAACAGGTCATCACAATAACATAGCGTTTAGCACAAAAGATAGAGATAATGACAATGACGGAAGTAGGAGCTGCGCTGTGGCATGTACTGGTGCCTGGTGGTACAACGTCTGCCAGCACTCCAATCTAAACGGAAGATACTTGGGGAAACAACGTAACTGGCAAGGACTTCGCTGGTTTTATTTTAGAAATAACCTTTCACTCAAATTCACTGAAATGAAACTGAGGCCGTCATCTTAAAGAGACTAACATTTATGGCAATATGGCAAGTTCAAGATTGGTGATGAGCAGGTGCAGTATCGATTGAAGTGGGTTCATATTCAGGGACGGCGGGAGATTCGTTAACATTACATAAGAACATAGCGTTTTCCACAAAAGACAGAGATAATGACATTTGGAAAGGCGGTGACTGTAAGTTCTTTGTGGAGTGGAGGTGCGTGATGGTATGGCAACTGCCATCACTCCAATCTAAACGGAAAATACCTAGGAGAGAAAGTTGATGTCAAAGGTGTCACGTGGCTTTATTTCAAGAATAAATTTCTGTTATTAAAATTTTCTGAGATGAAACTAAGACCCTCGTCCTAAAAGCAAATTGCAATTACAGTTCAATGACGTGTGAGAAGAACTCTCATTTTGGATCTAGGCGATGTCGGAAAAGCAATTTTCGTAGAACGTCTTTTCAAAACCTTAATTTTTTGGCTAAAATTCTTTATGCGCCTACATCAGTATAACGACAACTCAAAAGAGGATAAAGCTCAGAGAATTAATCCCCATATATCATATAGGCCCTCATACCTATCGTAATCTCTCTAAGTTATTTTTAGATCTTCTCGGAGATTCGTTGTTCCCAAGAGGGTTGAGTGATAGTAACCTGAGATCACGCCCAATTTTAGCGGTTCTCATACATTCTCTCTAACGGCTACCGCCGGAATGTACGTAATTTACAAAGCGAAACGAAAATTGAGCCTGATGTCTGGTTAGAGTGATAGATAATCACATGTCCTTAATTTTACCAATGTTTACAGCTGGGCGAAGTCCCATGCCCAGCTTCGCGACGTTCGCGAATCAATTTGTTTTAACAATTTTTAAATTGTTTTTTTGTTGTTTTTTTAAATTTTAAATTGTTTTAAGTTTAAAAACTTAAAAGTCTTTAAAGTTAGCAGAAGACGTAGGTTAGGCTAAGAAAACTGTAGCCATCACCATTTTCACATAGACCGTAATGCACCTTGTTTACCCCCCTCAAAATTTTGCATAACCATTGTCTTAGATTTCTCTTGAAGACAATGATTATGCAAAATTTTGGGGGGTAAACACGGTGCATTTTGGTCTATGTGAAAATGGTGGGAAACAATGCGTTTATACGTTTTGAAGGCGAATATGACTTCAGGGAAGTGAGTGTAGTAAGTGCTTTTAGAAAATGTAATAGTCTTTTAGACTGTAAAGCTTTAAATAATTCGACAACGAAGGAACTAGGGGACATCAGGCTCCGGTCTAAAGACTCACTTGTTTTAAGAAAGATAAAATGCATTGTATAATCAGCACCTGGTCGAATGTTCTTGGTGTAGCTTCAGTTTATTAATAAGCGACAATTCGGATCTGAAAATAATTTACCGTGAGAGTTCAACATCTTGCAAACAGTAGGAGAGTCCAGGGTCTAATGCCAGAATCTGAGTAGGAAATCGTCCTCTTTTCAAGGACCAAAAGCAACACGCATGCAGCTAATCAGATACAGGCACTTTGGAGAAAACCAAAGAAACTTAAATTATTACAAAGAAAATTAGTGCTTGACGATTGCACCTGAGATCAAATTAATCCTGTGTAAACAATCCCAGGAACCACAAAACAATTACTATAAATGCCTCATAACCTCTCAATGCCAATGTATGACTCCAAGGACACTCACTAAAGCCGGCGGCCAAAATAAAATTTGTTCAGTAAAAAAATTAAAAATAATACTCCTTGCACTGCATAAACTACGTGATAAAAACAGAAGGAAAACCGTTTTTGCTTTGAGGCGGTCACATTACAGACTATAACGAGCTAACGAGTCGTGTTTAGCCCGTCAACACTATTTCGAACTCATTTTCCTTAGTGAATCTACTGACAGTTTTCTGTTTCTCGATGCAAAACAAAAATTCAAAACGTGGGAACAGGTTTAAAAACCTATATAACCCACGTTCGATATATCAAAAATGCTAACATGACCCCGAGGCTTTCTGGTCATTTTTCTATATTTCGTTTGGTTTTCTTTATGCTCAAGCCTCTTCTGGAAAATGCGAGACAATGGGGTCGTGAAAATTTTGCAATTTTGGCTCTAAAGCCTCGGAGTGATGTGAACGTGGCTTGTCGTTTTTGACGTTTTCCTTCAGCTTCCAAGTAGCGCTTCCACACAAAAAAATTCGTGATATGCATGCGACGATTTCGATCTCGACGAAAGGTCCGAAAGCGGCATGCCCAAGTTCCCATACAGAGGTTTAAACGGTGCAGTTGAAATAGTCATCCAATGCATTTATCGTTGTCATCTAGTTAAACTTGAAGCGAGGATTACCCAGCGACCCTTGCAAGGAATGAGGAGGGAAAAATGTATGCTGAGGAATCCCATGAGCCACAGGTAGTAAACCAGGTACCATTCCCTGCGCATCTCCAGCTGGCTGGGTGTCACGCACAGGAGAACGGTGAAGATCGACCAAGCTGTAGCTTGAAGAACCTGGATTCGCGGAGATTGCGTTACCCTCCATGGTGATCGAAATGTCACGAATTCCTTGAAAGGCGTTCCGCCATATTTTATAGGGGACTGCAATCACAAGGTAACAAGGCCAGCAGGCACACCAAGCAGGGTGACAGTCAAAGAAATGATTGACAGCTGAACAGTTAGTTACCACGAAGTTTGCTCCAACAGCTGCTGTCATTTCAAGACATTCCAGTGAATCATAGCGTCTGATGCCTTGAGTCTTCCACCAGCGGAGAATCATGGGATTGAAGTCAAACTGTTTGCAAAATAAGCAGATTAGTAGGGAGTAGTCGAGGAAATTTTATCTGCGTTGATGATCAGGTTACCTATCTCCGGGACCCCTTTTCTTAGACCAGTACGAGTCTGTGTTCGAGTCTACTAATATACTTTTTTAACAATTGTCGGGTGAGGCTTAGTATGATGTGAAAAATTACGCAGATAGAGGGGATTGTTATTAACGGAATAATTCTTCACATCATAAGAAATTCGAATTTAATAGTTGTTTCATCGTTCATTCAAAATCGTAGGAAGCTTTTCTTGTCGTAGACTTCCTTCAAACCTTTGGCTTATTTCTCGGCATGGTTTCAGGATATAAACGATGTTTTTTTTCCTCACAGATACTCCTCAAAAGGTAGATAACATCCATCAAGCAATATGATTTGGGTATTCCTGCATTTAGTCGGTTCATGTTACAATGTCTTCGGATAGTCGTGAACGTTGCTGTTTAGTTTACTTGTGGTTGATCGATGGTATGTTTGCCTAGAGACGAGAGAACAAAGATGGCAGTGGATTGAGTGTAGTATGTTGATCGCATCTTCCAAATTTTGAATTAGCCGATTTAACCTATCAGAATTTGAATGAATAACCAAAACCTATATTATCAGTTCGAAAACAAAAAAAAAATGCTTCGATTCTGACGGCACTTACCTCAACAGCAAAACTTGCTTTTTCATATAGCATGTTCTCTGCCTTGTTAAGTCCATCTTCTAACATTCGTCTTATGTCAGGATTAGAAGTATCAATACTGACCACAAACTCCGGTCTGATGTAACGCTCCTCGTATAGGGAAGTACAGTGGTCAGTTCCCCACCGAGCATAGGGATTCATCCAGGGGGTACTATTCAACTGAATCCACCATTCAGGGTCACGGATACTTAGATATTCTCCCCTCTTATTTAGTCTGATGAACAGAAATAAAGCGATAAAATTTGAAAAAAAACACGTGTTTCAACCCCGCGTGGTAATATTTTTGGAGAGGGGAGGGCTCAATGCAATAGCTCGCTAATTGTCGATTGTATTTGTTGCTTATGAAAGTACTGGTTAAAGCTTTAACGTTTTTTGATTGAGGTAAAAGTCCAGGTGGGGATCTAGAATAAATACTGACCGATTTCCTACTTCTAGAGAGGTCTGGGGGCATGCTCCCCTGGGAAATTTTTGGATTTTAATTAACTCCCCAAAGTCCCCTTTCCTGGGTTTCTGAGTCATTCAGACGGGATATTTACTGACTGTCCAAACCATTTTCCAGATATCAACTTGGAAAGTTTAAACATTTTTTACTAAAAATATATTTATTATGAAAAATCTGACCGATTTCCGTAAAACAGTAGAAACCGGTATGGATCCGCGCCTAAAAGCTAGGTTTAACAACTCAACGTTTTGAGATGATTTAGCTTAATGAATTATCCCAATGGTTACTACGTGGAAAGCAGCCTCGCAGAATTTAGGCATTTGTACCGAAAAAAATGTAGGTTTCGTATTTTGTTTATTGAGCCTGTGTATGGGTGTCGGTTTCCGACGAAATCGAAGTCGCGAAGATCACCCGCACTGATGAAGCCACGACCTCATAGATTAACTAAGCGACGATCGCATTGCCATTTTAATCAAGTTTGACAACGTAAGTTTATGCAATGACGGCAAAGAAACCTACCAAAAAAAGTGCTACACTTTCAGAGTTTTTGTCTTGCTAATTTTTTCATTCCCGTCGTCGTTGTGATTGCGCTGAGCTTGCTAGTAGTGTTACCACGCAAAACAATTCTTGATATGCGACAATTTTGCGTGAAAAACCGACGATTTGATGGAAAACGCGCGACGAAATACCCATACAGAGGCTCTTTATCAGGTGATTTCCGCGATAACAGATTTTTTTTTTTTTCGTTTTATTTAGAACACCATACGTCGAAACTTTCACTCTTTTCTCTCGAGAGTCTTGCTTTTCTAAGGGGATACATGTAACTAGGAAAAACAAGAAAATAGTATGACAGTTACCTTTGGCCATGTGGTACATGTTTGCCGCAAGTTACCAGCAGTAAAAGAGGTCGGTTAAAGAGCTGATTTCGTAAAGCGTCCAATTCACTTGTTGTCTTCACGAGGTTAATCTTATCAGTGTTGGATAACTCCTGCTTATCGCTAATAATCGTGACTTGAGAACTATCTGGAAGCCGTAAGACCTCAGCTCCGTCTTTGTTCAGTTTAAATTCGTTTGGAGGATTGGATTTGAATGCTGAATATGAAACTAGCACGACTTCAGATGAATTCTGCATTTCGAGATTTAAAATTGCTTTGTTATAGACCATCAAAGGAATTATTATTGTAAAAGCTACAGCTGTAAGCAACATTGGTTTATAAATGCAAATACAGCATTAAATGAATGTACAAACTAATGAACCCTGATGAGGTAAGACACAGCGTTTTCCAGCTGAACAAATAATCAGAACTAAGAACTTTCATAACCTTATCACAGTCGACCAATTTTCTCCTCTGTGGTCCTCTAGATGCACGTTCGAAAAAAATGTAATTCAGTTTTAATATATTTTCATAAGACGTTATGCAGCAAAACAATAACAGGAAAGAATCAGCGCTTAAATTTACAATTAACAAACCAATATTCTTGATATTTGAACACCTGCTGACTCTTCCAAAAATACTCTTCGGCGCAATCTTTCGCAGTGGCATAAGAAATTTCATCACTTCCTCTGAGGCAAAGGTACTACCTGCTATAACTACCCCGTGATGTTAATTATAGTAAACTTCGCATACATCACGTCCGATTCGTAAGCCTCGCCTCTGGCAGGCGAGCATCTGATTGGTCAATCCAGTAAATTTTTTCCACCGGTATGGCGGCACTGGCAAGGCGGCTATATTGGGATTGTTTGAGGAACATTTCCCGTAGGCTACAAACTAATTCATTCGATGTTAGATGAAAAAACGGAGAAATCGAAAAGATACACTTGACAGTTACTCTACGGGATTCAGGGAAATGTTTTTTTATCAAGCTTCTCTCTTTTTTTACGATGCTCTTCGTTGAGGCTAAACTCCGTGCCCTTCGAAAAAGTCCGGTTGGTCCCCTGTGAAGATCCGACAGAACTTGTTTAACATTTACGCAGAAACGCTTGCTTCCCGAATTGCGCTGGGGAATGATGAGCAAATTTCATAAAAGTCAAGGTAAAGTTATCGATAGGCGACCGAATTGGAGAAAAAAAAATACAAAAAAAAAAACGATAAAACTCTTACAAATAAACATTTTATTTTAAAAATTGTTTCACGACTCACTACACTATGTCTTAACAAAACATGGTACTTTGGATGAGGAACTCCGAGTTTTACCATCTTTGATTCGTATTAAATTTGTTGGCTGCATTGGGAAAAGAAGAACATTATACTAGCCAGAAGCCTGGTAGAGATTTCTGAGTCAGCATACAGAGTTTACAAATCATAATGCAAGGTTGAAAACTAGTGCTGAATGTAAAGAGTTTGGCAATACTCATCAGTATTGGCAAACAGTACTTTTGGTTCTTCAACAATATTTTAGTAGTTTAAAAATGCGGTTTTAGGTGTTCTATGGAGCTCGAGGTGTAGGTCGACTCTGTTCAAACAGCACTTTAAACTTTGCACTTTGTATAGGCAAAAATTCTACAAGTAGGTTTAGGTGGTGCTAAGACGAACAAACCTGAGCTCGGAAGCTTAATTTTGCCGCGTGAAGGAGACTTTTACTGAGCGTTTTGTTTCACTGCAAAAGGCATCGTTATCCGTGGTTATACCACGTACAAGAACGTATTTATATCCTCTTCGTCCCGTCTGAGATACTTATGGTCTATGAGCCACTCGATTTGTTCTTTTATCATCTTCTTCTGTGGGATGAACATGTTTTTAAGAATTTCGACAAGTTCTGTTTGAAGGGCAGCATTTGTTATTCTCTTTCTCATCTTCATGATCTTAACAATCGCCTCCTGAAAAACAGAGCCAACCAGATTACAAGGGTCATTTTCACTGAAGCCGTTGACCGTTTGCGTACTCTGGGACCTTAAGTCGCCTAAAGTCGCCTTAAATCGCCTTAAGTCGCACAACATTTTGACCAAATTTTCCTAAATTCGCCTAAAATCGCCTAAAATTACGGCGACTTAAGGTCCCAGAGTAGGCCTAAACACGCTCGTAGTCCCTTTCCATTAAGCACATACGGGAAAGGACATTCCGTTGAACAACACAACGACATAAAAGCAAAAGAATAAGTTAAGGTTTTACACACTAAATCGTCCTCTCTTTTTCTTCGACAAATATCTGCTCATTGACACTATTAGATGGAAGATTGCGAATGTATAATTCCGAAGAAACTTAAGTTGTAAATGAATGGAGTGATAGCCTACAAGAGGCAAGATAAAAAATATAGTATCGCACCTGTATCCTGAGAATCCTAAGCGCCACTATGCCGTCATTCTCTTCTTGTTTTGTTTTCTCTGTGGAAAGCTGTAGCCGTCCAATGAGATTCACCTTGCCGCGTTTCTGTACCTTGCCATTTTTACTGATTCAAAGAGAGAGACAAAATTAAACAGAATAAGTCAGTAGACCTGCACCGTTCTAAACCTCTTATTTCACTGGTCCCCTATAATCTGCACTTCCATTGTTTTCAGGGATAGGCCGGGCATTGTTATGTGACAATCCCTATTGTTTTCCCAGCCAATCAAAAACAATCTTTCAAAAGGTGCGGGATCGCCCGAAAAAATGCCGTAGAAAATAAAAAAAAATTTCGCAGTAGGAGGAACGATTGCTAGTAGACACACACTGCATGGGTCAGAAACGAAAAGAAAAAAGGAACCTTCTCAAGAAAGAAGGGAAAATCTCGTTTGCATCTCGCAAGCCTTACGTAGAGTACATGTGGGTACATGCTATACAAGACCACTTAGCGGCTACCTTAACCAGGTTGGCGTCCAGCGGTTTTAGTGAAAACAAGGGTTTGGATGGGGTACTCAGTCTCGCGGGCTCATAAAATCTGGTCTCGGTCATTGTTATTTAAGGATTTTCATTTGGGTTTCAACAAACAAGCAAACACATCTAGGAGTCCCCATTTGAATGTCACGCAAAAATTAATCGGACAACAACGTGACCTCAGAGAAGTTTGCGTGACCAAGTACCCCCTTTATGAAGTAAACTCAGAGGAGAATCCTCGATAAACTTACATGACAGCAAACTCTTGATTGACCCAGAATAAAGAACTGTCGCTAAAATCTTTCGGAGACTTGGCCTCGGGATGACAAATAAGAATTTGACGCTTGAGTTTGGCGAAGGCAACTAGTGACTACAAAAGAGAGAAGAGTTTCAAATGTAAATAGGCGTATGGATCTTAACGCGAACTAAATATGAATATCAACTGACAGTTAAACAGAGTTTGAAGTGACTGAGCCAATAACTGTAAGTTTATAGCGTTCAACCTGAATTAAAGTGTAGAAGACCAGCAGTCAATCAGAATTGTCGTCCGGAGGAGCATGTTACGAGTATTTTGCGAACATGTTACGAGCATGATGCAAGCATGCCAGTAACAAGCATTATGCGAGCATATTACGAGTATTATCCGAGTATGTTACGAGTATGATGCGAGCACGTTACGAGCATGATGCAATCATGTTACGAACATGATGCAGTCATGTTACGAACATGATGCGATCATATTACGAGCATTAGGCGAGCAAGTTACGAGCATGATGCGAGCATGTCAGGAGCAAGATGCGAGCATATTACGAGCACGATGCAAGCCTGTTACGAGCACGAAGTAAGCATGTCACAAGCATAGTGCGAGCATGTTACAAGCACAATGCGAGAATATAACGAGCGTGATGCGAGCATGTAACGAGCACGATGCAAGCATGTTACCCTCTTGACGTAAGCAAAAGAACACGATGCGAGCATGTTACGAGCGAACGAATAAGTATAATGCTAGGCGCAACTGCCTGAAGTCTATAAAAGTGAATGATACTTCTCTACAGGAATAGTAATGATTGCAATGCAGGGTTTTTAGTCGGCTATTTGATTTTGCAAAACAGTCGGGGTGGAGCAGGAAGGACCCAGAAAAAAAAACGCATGTTTTGAATCGCTGTAGTCAGCAGGTTAACTTAACTTGAACTTAATATATGGTTAACCTCTTGATCCCTCTCCTTCAGGAGATATATGCCGTACGAGCATGAGTAAGCAAACTACCTATTTTAATTGCGTCAGTAAAACCGAACTGACCTGAATTAGTATAGGTAATAGCATGATTTGTAGTGATATTTGGCATAAATACCACGAGTGATATTTCCAAATTGTTATACGTAATTTCACGAACCGTTAGGCGAGTGAAATTTGAGACAATTTTGAAATATCACGAGTGGTATTTATGCCAAATATCACGTACAAATAATGCTATTATTTGTTTATACTACTACCCACAAAAGGTTTGTAATTTTCACATGTAGGTATTTCAAATTAAGCTGAAATAACACTGCTCTAAGCCAATCAAATTGCAGAAATTTCTCACGTAGTAGTATAAACAGTGTATTAAAAATTAGAAATCACAAAGCTTACCCACAACGTCCTCCTGAGTTCCGAATCAGGAAGTTCGGAAGCAAGCCTACAAAATGAAAAGAACACGCACTCAATAACTGATCCACGTAGCGGTTCAACTTTCTCCCTAGTTTAATATTTATTTATCTCTTGCTTTTGTGTATGGTGACGAGGATAAAGAGAAACAAAAATTGCTAATGAATGCTTGAGACTAATTTCGCTTTTTATGGCTGAGATAACAACTCCTTCCCTAAGTACTATTTTCAAGATGACTCATGCTTACGCCCTTACACCGAGACTCGTATTGTTCACTTCGGCCAATGGCTGGGACAGGGGAAATCTAGCCCCGGCTAACAGCTTCTGCGAAGTAGCGACGAAACCCTTGCTCTCGACTTCATTCTGAAGTGCGTTTCAACCTGACTGGCCAGTCGAACAATGGCTTTTTAACAAGCCAACCACGGCGCGTACTCAAATCCTGGTACACAGCCTGGGCCCAGAACAAAGATTTCGGCGCTGGATCGCAGCCGAACGCGTAGCCAGACCTTTAGTTCCGTCTCTGGCGAAGGCTGGGATAAGCCCCAGTTCTAGAGTTGTATGCACTAAATACCAAACTTGAAGATAGGCAAAACAAGGCTGCACTTTACTGACCTCAGATTTTCGAAGGATATCTTCTCGTGTGGTCGCTCATTCCAGGCAAAGAGAACAGCCATTTGAAAAGTTGTCACTTCAAGGTCAAATTTCCCAATTTTGTTGGCAAACGTTATCTTTAAAAGAAGAGTCCAGGGTCTCAACAAGACTAAATCAATACGTTACAAAATGTTCTAGAACCCCGAGCAAACGGACGCAACATTGTTGGATGTTACATGTTGCGTCGGTCTGCACACCCTGTTGCATGATGCTGCATGTTGTTCCGGATTGTTGGGATTTGCTGCGCAAAGTTTGAAACCGGTCAAACTTTTAAGCCAACAACTCCCAACTTTTTTTGTTGTTGTTCTATGGTCGCCGAAGCGTAGCGCAACAATGTTCGATCTGTTTCCACAGCTCTTCCAACATTGTTGGGAGCACGCACGCGCATTACACATGGTCTCCTTGAACATCAGTCACGTGTGTCACAATATTGACGCTCGAATTCTGATTATGGAATAAATAATGCACTGCGAGTCCCAACATTATTGGGGGGTTGTTCCATCCGTTTGCACACCTCTGCCAACACTATCCAACAACTTTTAACATTTTTCGGGCCCACAATGGTGGGAGTTGTTGCGTCCAGTATTAAGATATCAACTGGTCGAAAGAGATCTCGGTTTAAAATTACAAATTTAGAAAATGGACAGAGGTGATGTATCAAGACAAAGAAGAAAAAACAGCTAATAGTATGTAAGGAAAACTGCATAATTTCTGCATCAAATACGCGTCGTCAAGCCAAAGCACACGAGAACACAAGTTACCAAAGAGAGCGTGATAAACGAGATTCAACCTTTCAGCCCAGTGATTGAACAACATAATAGGTGTCCGTCTTATAGAAGTGTCCGTTAAGAGAGAGTTGACTGTAAAGAAATCTAAAGAAAGACTTCATCACGTGAACTAACTCACCACTCCATTGGACATGAGATGATGCCACTGTAATTTTCGGCCACTGTGGTTTTTCCTGTAAAATTCTTCCACCTCAGGAATATAATCTTCCAGCTAAAACGAAAACATTCTTGTTAACGTTCATTAGAAACAGCCCTCTCATTTACACTGTGTGCTTTAGAGACTGAATGTGAAAAACGTTTGGTACCGCAACAGCATATCGGAAATGGTATTATAGTTACTGAACAGTGAAAGCAACAACCTTAGCTTTAAAGTACTTTGCTTAGCTTTTGGAAATTTATCTTGTTTGACCGTGGTGAAATTACTCAAATTGTTATTCACAATACAGGCTGCAAATCAAATGAACATATCAGAGCTCGAGGCAGGACATGAAACTCCGAAAAGCGCGGGAAAACATCCAAGTTGGGAAAGTGGCGCGAGATATTCTAGCCAATGAGGAAGCTTCCTTCTCAATAACATCGAGAACTGCTATTAGGGACTTTAAGATACCACGACGGCCACGGCCACGAAAACGTCGCTTAAAAAGTTAATTCGCGTTCTTTGAATCTTTATCGCGATTATTCCTGATCGTTTCCTTTGTCAAATAAAGGCGAACTCTTCTGGAGCCAAATTCGTTAAAACCATATCCAAGGTTAGAAAAAGAGAGAAAATTTCTTCGTGGCTTGTTTACGTCCTCTCATTCTCTCTTAGTCCTCTATAAAACGTGAGAATAGGCAGTTTCAGGTGCAGGGACGGTAAAGAAATATACAAAAACGCGTGCTGCAAGTGAAGAGCTCTTGATTTTCCAATAGGCCATTTTACAGTTGTGTGCTTAGTGCCCTGGCCTTTGAATAGACGCGAGGCTGGCGGTGACCTTGTTTTGTTACAAACCTGCCTGCTTTTCAAGTGCAAATCGTGGTATTCTCATGCTAACAAGCCCGTGAACATGATCATTTACATATGAAAAACAAGAAGATTTGTAACAAAACAAGGTCACCGCCAGCCTCGCGTCTATTCAAAGGCTAGGGCACTGAGCACACAACTGTAAAATGGCCTATTCAACCTATTGCTTTTTTGACGTTCTCGTTGTCGTCGCCGTCGTGACATCTTAAACTGACGACGGTAGAACAAAAGTCTACTGCAACGAAAAAACCGATTTGCATATAACCAAAATAAAAACGTGACATTCACCTCAGTAGGTAGCGAAACGGGTATTCTTTCTGAAGCTCTCGACCACGCTCCAGCATTCAGTATCTTTATGTTAACCGAATCTGCATTAAAGAAGAGCACGGTTTAATAATTAAACGCAGGTTCTAGAGCTCGATGCCCTGCTGACGTGGGCAATTAAAGTCAATTAAATGATGCTGTACATTTGTAGAAAAAGGCAAAAAAGCAAAGCTGAAGCCTAATGTCTTATTGGGTTGGAATTATAATGGAGCAAAAACGTTCTAATGACAGACAAGATGTGGCTGTAAAATGGAACTGCTTTTACATGTTGAACAGAAAATCACCAGTGAAGTGTGTCTAATTTGGATACAGCCACTATGATGTGGACAAAGCCAGCTTTGGGTGCACGTACAACCTAAATATTCTAAGAGGAGGGGGGATGTGGGTGCTAGAATCTTTATCTCATGAACGGAATGAAAATAAAAGAAATACGTTATCCCGGCTTCAAAGTTTTATCCAGGTGCTGATGATTTGCGTTGATCGGCTATTTTTATTTCCTGCAGAATCACAGTACAGATGACTAACTTTGTAAGCTTTACCTGCGATGTCGCCTTTGTTCATGTACTCTGTTTTGAAAGCCTGATTTAGATCGTTACTGACTTTAATATCTTGGAACATACGAGCTAGTTTGTTGATATAATCAGCAGGCATTCCCACATCCTAAAATAAAGTAAAAAGAGTTGTATTTAGCAGTTCATGACTATTTTTTCTCTATAACTTAAAAATCATTTGACCTCACTAGTTAGTCGCTATAGCCCGGAAATCGGGTTTGAGGATGCCAAAATTGCAATGATTGCATTGTCGGTAGTCGATGGACGCCAGCAGTAACAGTCTGACTAACGCTGGTGAGATGATTTCTCACTATAAGTTTTGAGTCTACGGACGAAATCCTATGCAGGTGTTATATATACCAATCAAATGAAACCTCTTTGGAATAACTTTCCCATAGGATAATTCATTTCTTAAGATTTTGAAAACCATAAGTTTGGAATTTTCAGTGAATTTTCAATTTGGGTAAAAAGGATTTGACATAAGCAAATTCAGGTAATATTACCCTAAGCCATTCCACCATGTTTTCTTCCATTTCGCTGTCAGCTGAGGTGTCCAGGATTAATCTCCTCGTCAAATGAGCCTTGTGGTACCTAAATGCAACAATAGTGTTCATCTAACAAACAACGCATGCATTTCTTGTCATCTACTAAGCCTAAGAAGGTTTGCCAATACAAGTAAGTGCAATACATGTAGTCGCCCAACACTGCTCACCAAGAAAGGATTACTTTTGAGATATGCAGCCAAAATTAACTCATGGCACTACAGCATTAGTTTTTATTGCTTTGCCTAGGCGCAGGGCATACTTTTGTGATGCAGGAGTTGACATGGCTTCTACGTCTTGCAACACAACAAGTTGCACAAGAAATGGTCGGCCTTCAGTTGTTACCTAGATTAATCATTGGATTTCATTTTTCCCGTCACCCATTAAGAAGATTCAACTACCGCGATGACGACAGCAACAGAATTGTCAAGAAAGAAGGAATGTGTATTCTTTCCAACTAAAACTTCAGATTAGCTCGTTTATCGTCTTTCTCACGAGAACCACTCGGTGTTCGGTTCAGTATTGACCGCAACGCTTCGGCCGCGAACTGCCGGTCTTCATCAGGCGATGGGGTCGATGTGCTGTGCGGTCCATGATAGCACCATGGTTACTTATGATTGGTGCATTACGAACCTCACTGACGGTTGGTGGGTTTCTCCGAGGGTAGAGCTCTTTTTGACTATTTCCAGGTCCAAAAAGAAAGGAAAAATGCGTCGTCTTGTCATGTGCTCACGTCCGCAAACAAACGTTACGTTCTTACGAAGTTACACGTCGCTGACGTGCAGTAAACAACAAAGAAACGTTCCAAAGTATGTTACACACGTGCAGATGTATAAGCAGTTCCATCCCACAACATATTTCGTGTAAGCTGCCCTTCGTTTTGTAACAAGCATTGAGGACCCCACTAACAGACAATTTCGTCAATATGCCCGCGTAAAAAGGAGGCGGACTGTCTATAACACTGAGCTGATTTTTTTAATTTTTTGCCTCATAACGATTATTCTGATATGTATAATTCATACCTCATGAATACATCTTTATTGATGACATACTTTAAAACCAGTAACTGAAAATGAGGAAAATTGGGATTAGTGTGACGTGAACTCCAGCAATCTAACTACGAATTTCCGGGTGCCCCACCTTTCCTAGAGAATTACACATTTACTAACGGTGTTTCACGACGGAAAACACTGCGTCGCAAAAGAAACTAAACTGTGGTTCAGTCCGTCTACGAAACAGCGCTGAAATCCTTGTTCAGGGCCCCCACTTGTGTACCAGGATTTGAGGGCGCGACATGATTGGCCTGTTGAAAATACCATTGTTGATTTGCCAAACAAGACGAAAGAAAATTCGAAACGAACTTTCAGTAATTTTTTGAGTCCGTTGGGGGCACAGAACAAGGATATAGGAGCTGCTTCGCAGACGTCACTAACGGAGGTTAAATTACTTCTGCGACGCAGGCTAACTATCTCCTAATGGCAAGACAGCTGGTCCTTGTTGTTCTTCGGAAATATCCTTTGACCCTATAAAAGGCGATAACCTCTGTATACGACGGACAATAAGTGTAGATCTCAAAGGTGTCCGTCTAAGAGTCTTCAGAGTGAATTAGGTCCTGGTCCTTGTTGTTCTTCGGAAATATCCTTTGACTCTCAAAAAGGCGAAAACCTCTGTATACAGCGGACAATAAGTGCAGATCTCGAAGGTGTCCGTCTAAGGGTGAATTGACTGCACTAGTATATTTTTTTTGTAAGAAAGCAACTTAAGAAAAAAAATATAAATCGCAAATACATCTATGAGGTACTATGCGAGTTCGTAGCCTATGAAGAACATCTTGATTACGTTAGATTTAGAGCTCACAGATACGTTCAATACCGTTAAAAATACTTACAACGTCTCTAAGCTTTGCTTGAATTTCATCCGAAGTTAATTTTTTGCTGTATGGAGTTTTTCTGAGGAGCATGTCACAGAAATTGGCCAGCAACTCTGGACAGCGGGACTCTGGCTGTGTCTTGACGCTCAAGCCACCACCACCACCACTTGAAAAAACGGAGATACGTTTTAAGATATGCCTTAATCATTTTAAAACTTTCGTGTAAAAGTTCAACAAGATATTCAAGATTCATACCCCGAAATATTTATCATACTCTTGCATGGTTCGCACAATCTTGGAAAGGTCTTAACTTTCAGTAGTCGTCTTGAAAAGTCATTGAATTCGGTTAAAGACCTTGAAAAGTAGTTGATTTCTTTATTGGGTCTTGAAAAGGTTTTGAAATTCACTCCCTTGTTTACGCCACTTTCTACTTTCTGTGAAACTGGATTATTTCCCAGAGGAAAATTCGGCTCCTCCTCGGTTTAAGAGCTTGTAAAACGCACAGGTAATGTAAAAACATTTTTGTGCATGAACAATATTATATTTGTTTCTTTATTCCAAATGCTTATTTCATACTTAGTTACTGGAAAGTGTTGTTACGGAAAGTAGTACTAAATAAAGTGATCAACCATGGTTGAAGAAGTAAAAATCGCAAATGATTGCACTGTGTTTTAGCCAATAAGGTGTTCAAAAGGGGTTAAAGAATGTCGATTTATAGACTAAATCTTAGTCCTTGAAAACTGTAATTTGTCCTTAAAAAGTCCTTGAAAAGTTCTTGAAATTTGCTTGTCTGAAGTTGTACGAACCATGTCTTGGTAATAGCATTAACTAGAGAGTGTTTTCCCAGGATTAAAATAACTCCTCCCGTTAAACATCAAAAATTAACAGGTAGTTTTTCTCTGGAAGAAATTTATCTGGTTAGAG